GCACTGCCAGGAGTAATTTAATTCCTGAGTTCAGAGCCAGGAGTAACCCCTTGAGCCTTGCTGAGTGTGACCCAAAACACAAAAATAAAATAATTTTTAAAAAACCCTACAGCGCAAGTTTATGCATTATACAAAAATTAAAGATGTATCAGACATGTAAAATTGATGTAAAATTATAAATGATTTGGTTTTAAGCCATACCAGTGGTACTCAGGAGCTACTCCCAGCTCAGTGCTCGGGGAACATTCCTAGTGATACTTGTTATGGGATGGGGGGGCATGCAGTGTCAGATCAAACCTAGGCTTTCCACATGCAAGGCATGTACTCCTACTTGTTGAACTAGCTTTCTAGCCCTAAAACTACAAGCTTTTTATTTTTCAAAAAGGAAAATCCTTGGTATTTAGTATTAGGCAAGAATTTTCAGATGTGGGCTGGAGTGGGTAGGACGTTTGCCTTGCACGTGGCCGACCTGAGTTCTAATCTCAAGCATCCCATATGGTCCCCCAAGCACTGCCAGGAGTAATTCCTGAGTGCAGAGCCAGGAGTAACCCCTGAGCATTGCTGGGTGTGACCAAAAAAAAATTTTTTTAGATGTGACATTAGCATAGTTTACCAAAAGGAAAATTGATAAGTTGAACTACATCAAAATTGAAACATTTGTTCTGTGAAAGGTAAATATGCTAAAAAGACAAACTACATAGTGAGAGAAAATAATTCAGATAATACATCAAAAAAGGACTCATTTGGTTATTATGCTGAGTAAAGACACACACATGCATGCATGCCAGATTATTCTGAAAGATTGCTTCAGACTGTGCTGTTCTCTTAGTATGATATTCTTACAGTGGGGAAAAAAATTATAGAAATGGAGAGTAGACTGGTAGCTTCCAGAGGCCAAGGAGAGAGAATGGGGCAGGTGAGAGTAGGTATAGGGGATTCTTGGGTTATAGAAATATTCTGGAGCAATAATATAGTGGGAAGGGTATTTACCTTGCACACAGCCAACCCAGGTCCGATCCCTGACATTCCATATGGTCTCCCAAGCACCGCCAGGAGTAATTTCTGTGTGCAGAGCCAGGAGTGACCCCTGAGCATTACCAAGTGTGATCCAAAAATTTAAAAAAAGAAAGAAAGAAATATTCTGTATATTGACAATATGTTATTTTTCCTGGGAGTGATAAGCTATACCATTGGGAGAACCTGGGCAAAATCTATTATTTCTTATAATTTACAGGGGGAATTTACAGTGACCTGAAAATAAAAAGATTAATTTTTATAAAGCAGTACAAGAGGTTATAAAGGAAAATGGTAGAATAGCTTAAATTCATAAAACTTTTTCTCTGCTATCAGAGAATACTAGTTTAAAAACAAAACACCCAGGGGCCAGAGAGGTAGCACATCATAACAGGGGTTAAGATGCACACTGTGCACCGTCCAGCCCACTTTGGTCCCCAGCACTGCATGACACTGAGCACTGTGTGGCCTCGAGGCCACCTTCCACCAGCACTGCTGGGATGTTCAGGTGATCCCCAGCACCAGCACAGCCTTGGGCGCTTGTGCTGGGCCTCTGGCCTGCTTGATTGAAAATTGCTGGGAGGAGACCTGGGGGCTCCTGAGCACTGCTTAGAGACTCCTCCCCTCCCTCAAATAAAAGTGATTGTTTTTTAAAGCACATGATTTGCACGATTTGGTTTTCTTTGGTTTTCTTGGGTGATTTTCTTCGGGGGTGGAGGTGGGGGCGGGGGTTTTGGTTTTAGATCACACCCATTGATGCTCAGAGATTATTCTTGGCCCTGAGCTCAGGGATCACTCCTGGTGGTGCTCAGGGGACTAGTTAGGGTACCAGGGATCGAACCTGAATCAACAGCATGCAAGAACAAGCTATACTATCTCTCTGACCCCTGAGTTGCATGTTTGTTTGAGGCCTTAAGTTTAATCTCCAACACCAGAAAAAAAATTTTTTCTTTCTTCAACAAGTCCTTTGAATTTTGCTTTCATTTAACCTACCCTGCATCTCATTGAGGAATATCCACGTTCTTCAGTCAGCAGCCCTCCTCATCTTAAACCAGAGAACCATGGAAATATCAAGCCAGCTTTGTTCTTTCCTTGGGGTGAAAGCAGGAACATACCAAGAAACAGACTTGTCAAGCCTTCAGTGTCTTTCTTAGGCCCCGAGGTGAAAGCTCCATTTCCAGCCTTCCTTAAGTCTGGCCACTTTTTGTTTGTTCATTTTGTTTTGGGGCCACACTCAGCTCTGCTCAGGGCGTGCTCCTGGCTCTGTGCTCCGGGATCACTCCTGGCGGCCACACGGAACCATAAGGAGTGCTGGGTGGGGACTGAACCTGGGTCAGCTGCATGTAAGGTAAACACGCTACCCTCTGTACTATCTCTAGCCCCGAGCCTGGAAATTTTTAGGCTGCATCAAGTCTTTTTATTTTAATTTAGGCAATGTGATGTACAAATACTGTTAGTAGCGTCAGGCAGACGGTGTTGCTACACCACCCCACCACCAGACTGTCAGCGTCCCTGCACTGGCTGGCTGTACCTCACCTTCTATCCCCATCCTCACCCACACCTACGGAGCAAGTTCAGGTCTATAGACAGGCACCTGGGGGTTGTTATTAGCCCCATACTCTTTCTTTATGCTCCATATATATGAGAGATCATTTGGTACTTGACAAATGTAACTCCTGTCAGTGCTAGTGAGACCGTGATCATATGGACAGTTTTTTAATCACGGGGAGGACTGAATATATACACAATTCTAGAAAGTAAGTTTAACGATTGTGCAGGTGAAAAAGACTTAGAGCTCCTGGTCTAATTTCATGTTTTTTGAGTCTGTCTTCAATAGGAGAGTACTTGGGGAATCTGTATTCAGAGACTTTTTTTTCTTTGCTTGCTTGCTTGCTCGCTTACTTGCTCCTATCTCAGTGTTCAGGAATCACTTGTGGTGATGCTCAGGGGATCATATGGGGTGCCAGGGATCAAACCTCAGTCGGCCACATGCAAGACAAATGCCCTACCTGCCTCCTATCCCACTGGCCCCCTATTCAGAGATCATAACTGCTGTGTTATGTATAGTAAGGGAAAACTAGGAAGAATCTGAATGTCTTAGAAATGTGGCATTAGTGTCAATTACGTAGCTGGATGAGGGGATATTCTATAGCCAACTTTAAAGTGTCCATGGCAAAGGACTAAAGAGACATTAAGAGTTGAAGTGCTCGCCTTGCACACAGCTGACCCCAGTTCAGTCCCTAGCACCACCTACTAAGCACCACCAAGAGTGACCCCTGAGTCCGGAGTAGGCAGTAGCCCGAGTACTGTTGGGTGTGGCCCAGCCTCCCCCGACTCTAGTATCTAATCACTTGGAGAAATGTTCATGATAGAATGTTAAATGAGAAAACTTAGGGTACATAATTTCTGGCACTGCAAAAAAAAAAAGAAAATCAGAGTAGAGCATTTTTATAGTATGATCCGATTCAATTCTGGGTGATTTGTGTTCTTTTTAAATTCTACATTTTCCAAATTCTTTACAGTTAGATTTTTGTAATAATGCTAATAACAATAACAACAATAATAATAAAGAGTAAATGTTAAAACATCTCTTGACACACTCCATTGCACCAAAAAAAGACCCCGGCTTTTTAGAATTTGTAGGCAGTAATTGGTTTACATGAGGGTTGAGTTTGCCAATTATGATAATGTGGGTTTTGAATTCTTCTGCTTCCCGTGCGGTGTTGAGCATGGCGTGGGGGCTGCCAGCTCAGGCAGACGAGCTCGGCGGGGCCCATCTGCTCAGGCGCGGCTTGCTGACACACATTCATTGCGTTTCCTTCTTTGATTTGGCAGCGTTTCCCCTCGTCACCGTAGCTGGGAATCAGCACCAGCCCTCCTCATTTTGTTTCCCAGTTTGTTGTTTCCTTTTGTCCCGTTTTCTGAAGACAAAGAAACCAAGAGTGGGGCGGCTGCTGCTTCTCGAAACAGATTGCTCGTCTTCGGGGGGGGGCTCCTGGGCGTCCTCTGCTTCGGACCCTCACAAGCTAGTTCAGCTGTTTGGGAAAGGAGCATGCTGGCGGGGCATGTTCCAAAGGGCCTCGTGGCCTTTCCGCCTCCCTCTTCCCCAATCCCGCCCCCTCCCACGGAAGAGTTGGAAATGGTTCCATGTAGAAATTACCAACGTTAGCCGTGGGCTGTGCTCTCTCCATCTGGTGCTTGGTACTGCTTTTCTCTCTTTCAACTGAGGCACGCGTTTGTTAGAACTTGGTTCTGCTGCTGAAGTGCAAAGCCTCTGACACAACTCTGCCCCAAGCACCCTGCACTTAAGAAAGATCCTAATCTGAATTGCTTGGTGTTTGAGAGAGTACTGGCAGAGTCATCTGGGTCACTTAGAATTTACTCGAGGGACACTTTACAATTGTTAGAGTTCGGGCTGGAGTGATAGCACAGTGGGGAGGGCGTTTGCCTGGCATGCCGCCGACCCGGGTTCGATTCCCAGCATCCCCTAGGTCTCCCAAGCACTCGATTTGCTTGATTTGCTCAAGCGGGTCCTCCCAAGCACTGCCGGGAATAATTCCTGAGTGCAAGGCCAGGAGTAACCCCTGTGCATCGCCGGGTGTGATCCAAAAAAGAAAAAACAAAATTGTTGAAATCCTTTTTCCTAAGGTTTTGTTGTTGTTGTTGTTGTTGTTGTTGTTGTTGTTGTTGTTTTGGGCAACACCTGGCTATGTTCAGGTACTAATCATGGCTCTGTATTCAAGGAAACACTCCTGGGAGGGCTCTGGGGACTATATGGGATGCCTGGGATTGAACCTGGGTCAGCTATATGGAGCCCAGTGCCTTATCCACTGTACTATTTCTCCAGCCTCCTCTTCAGTTCTTTTCAAAATAATTGTTAAAAGACAATGGCTGTCGCCTCAATAGCCTCTGTGAGCCTGACACTGTATATTTTTAAAAAGACATTCTGTGTAAGACATTCTTTGTTGTGCTCCTTTTCTCTCTAGGTTACCCTGAGGAGACTTACCCAATTTATGACATTTCAGATTGCACCAAGCGTAGGCAAGAAACAATCCTGGTGGACTACCCCGACTTTAAAGAGCCCTCTGCTGAGGAAATAGCAGAAAGAATGGCCATGCTAGAAGAGGAAGAAACTGGTCCTGTAGGCTGGGCAGTACCCACCCGTCCTGAAGCCGAGGAAGACACTTCTGTTCCTGCTTATGACCCAAAGCCAAAAACGTGTCCTTGCTGTTTTCCTGAAGAAGAGGACCCTGCCGTGCTGGCGGAGAACGCTGGGTTCACGGCAGAGAGTTTCTGTGAGCAGGAAGAAGCTGCCAGAGAAGTGTGGCCCCACAGCTTCCAAGAGGAGAGTCGGGGCACCAGCACCGAGGAGGTCTGTGTTTCTGGCGCACTGAGGAAACGAACCCCGCAGGGTGTCGAGTGCAAGCCGCCAGCCTGGTGAAGCCCACTACTCTAGTTTCAAGGTGACCGCTGTCTCCTCTCTGACTGCATCCTGGCCCTGTGCCCCGGACTACCATCCCTGTCTTCAAATGTCATCGCTGGCCAGGTTACACCCATGGATCGTGTATCGTGCCTGGTGTTCGCATACCTGTCACCTTGTAGAACACCGTAGAGATTAGTGGGGACACCAGGCAGCATCACTGTTTCTCTTCCTGCCTTTCCCCTGTCGCAGCCAAGGCACTGAGTACTCCTGTTTGATTTATCGTGATTACAGATGGGACCGCTCAGGCGCAGAGGTCCGACTCTTCCTGCCAGGAGTAGCAGATGATTCCCCCATGACCAGACATCACCTTACTCATGAGAGACAAGCTGTCCCTGTCCGAGATGCCTTATCCCAGGGAACTTGAGCAGTGTAGTGGCTCCTTGGGTTTAAGAAGAAACCATTTCCTCAGTGAGCTTTCTGGGGCCAGAGTAGGGTCAGACTCTGCTGTCTGAGCTGGAGCGTCTCCCTCAGGGCCACGCTGCCTCCTACAGCCTTTCTGGGCGAGCAGAGCTCGAGTGGGCCCAGAGGCAGGGGGAGCTGTTCACGCAGACACTGCCTGGCTCTCTGCCCCCCCCCCCTTACTCCTGTTCTGCTTGCCTGAACTGCGAGTCCCAAAGCCCCTTGGTACCTCTGCTCCAGAGTAGCAGGAGGATGCTTCAGAGACTCGTTCTTGCGCAGCCAAACAAAGAGTTGAGGCGATTGGGAAGATAGGAGAGCCTGTGTTCCCCACCTCTGCTACTCAGGCCAGGGTGAAGGAGAGAGAACCAGTGCACTTACAGTGGTTATCTAGACCTTCCTGTTACCAAATAAACTCCCGGAAGTTTGTGCTCACAGTCATGTGATTTGAAACAAATGAAGACTGAATGTGTAGACCAGCTGCTAACCCCCAAGGGATGTTGCAGGGTATAGCTGTCTTAGAGTAGCAACACAGCGATGCCTGGCAGAGGAGACTGTCCACAGGGCATCCAGGTTGTAGGGTCTCTACGGTGAGCTAGAGTGGAGGGGGAAGGGTGTGACAGGGGCTGCCATGTACCTACTAGAGACAAGATGGCACCCATGAAGTGTAACAAACACAAGTGAATTTACAGTTCACCTACATAAGATCTGAGAATTTAAAGAAGGCACATTCCTGAAGATACTCCCAGTCATGAAATTTGGAAGACTTGAAACACTGAGAAAGAGTGTGACATAGCCACAGAGTTCCACGGTACCTGCTGTGAGTAAATGCCAGGAAACCAATTTCAGTCATTCACATAAATTTATACTAATGCCAAAGGTATGGGATCAGATTGAAATCATGTGTCAGCTACTACTAGGTATTTCTTTTTTTAATTAATTGAGCTTTAGAGAAAACTTAAGTCTATAGAAAGTATATTGCCTCTATATCTACATGGAATATTTGACTTGTAAAGAATATGGTTTAAAAAATAATTAAATAAAAAATAATTAAAATGGAACAATAAAATATAGGTGTGCTTTGTTGTTTGGATAACTTGTTTTCCATGTTCTGCCTGATTCACCATGATGGTCTTGTTTATGAGGAGAGTGCTGGCTTCCTTGTTCTGTTTTGTTTTGCCTTAGGCTGGGAATCCCTGGGTAGAAATAACTGAATGTTTCTTTTTGCCTTATTCATTTTTATATTTAGTAGACAGTGCTCAGAGAGAGCCACTGGGAAAGGAAGGCTTGATTCCTTCCCTGGGGAAACTTACCCCAGGGATGCAAGGGTGATTCAACTTCTACAAATCAATGTGCTGTACCATATGTATATCTATATTTATTATTTTTTAGTCTAATATGGGCACCTGTGTCCAGAAGGGGTCGGTGGCGGTTTTGACTGGCAGAGAAATGTAGGTCCTAATTCAATTCCTGCCTATCTTAGCTCGAAAAGTTTGAGTGGGCTTCTAAAGTCTCTTTCTCATTTTCTTCAGAGTAGAATAAAAAATCCCAGTCTCCCAGGCTGGATATTCAACAACTTCCAGAAGTTCTAGGCAAGAAAACTAAGGGGTATCCAGGTTGAAAAGGAAGAAGTAGAACTGTTGGTAAAATTAGTGGGTGACATCATTTTATACATAGACAATCTTAAAGGTGATACCAAAAAACTATTAGAAATAATACAGTGAAGTTGTAGGGTATAAATATATAAAATCTATTGCTTCTCTACCCCAAAAATGAACTATTGGAAAGTGAAATCAAGAACAATTCCATTTAAAGTCCATCAAAAAGAACAACTAGGATTAAGCTGAAGCATGGGGGTGGAAGAAAGACCTGTTAACTGAAAACAGTGATAACACTGAAAGAAATTGGTGACACAAAGAAATCCAGAGATATTCCATGCTGCTGTACCAGAAGAATGAACACTTTTTAAAATGCCCATATTACTCAAAGAAAACTATGCAATCCCCATCAAAATCTCAATAGCTTTCTAAAACAGCAATAGAACAAAAATACTCTAAAATTTGTATAAAACTCCACAAGACCCCAAATAAGCAGGGCAGTCTTGAAGGGGAAAAAAAAGCTGGAGGTAATCCTGTTTCTGATCAAAACAAAAGATACTGGCTTAAGAGCAGAAAGATAATCGAATGAGAATCAGAACCTAGAACTGAAACCAAGAAAATGCAATGGGGAAAGAAGTTCTTCAATAAGTGGCACTGAGAAAACTGTACAAGCACATGCAAAAGAGTGAAACTAAAACCACCATCCTCCATAGTTAACTCAAAAGAAATGAAAGGATCACAGAGATGGCCCAGTGGGCTGAGCATGTGCCATGCTTGCTGGAGCCCTGGGTTCAATCCCCAGCAGCACCTGGTCTCCTTAGCACCATTAGGTGGGGCCCTCTACCCCCCCCCAAAAAAAAAAGATAACTGAAAACATAAAATAACTAGGAAACTACTTAGGCTGTAGCTCTTTTATGTTAGTGGTGACACGAATTTTATTTCAATGATAAGGGGAAAATTAAAAAAGAAACAATGGGATTAAATCTAAAAAAATACTGTAGCAGCTGTGGGTCAGTGTTTCAATCCCTGCCACTGCCTGTCTCCCTGAGCACCAGAGTGTGACCCTGAAGGTCCCAAGCACTACTTGGCCATGTGACGACAAAGTGTCCCCACAATAATCAACAATAAACACACACACACACACACACACACACACACACACACACACACACACACACACCCCTGCTGCATTTCAAGGAAAGACCAACAAAAAAAGGAAATTTACTGATTGGGAGAAGGTATTTGCAAATGATATTATCTGATAACGAGAGCCTGGCAAGCTACCCCTGGCGTATTTGGTATGCCAAAAACAGTAACAAAAATCGGTCTCATTCCCCTGACCCTGAAAGATCCTCCAATACGGTCATTGGGAAAGACGAGTAAGGAGAGGCTGCTAAAATCTCAGGGCTGGGACGAATGGAGATGTTACTGGCGCCTGCTCGAGTAAATTGATGAACAATGAGATGACAGTGATACCGTGATTATCTGATAAAGGGTTAATATCCAAACTATATCTTTTTTTAAAATCAAAACTCATGCAATTGAAACAATCCAAAACTGTAGAGAAACTGAGTATCTTTCCAAAGACAGCAATCAAATGGCCAGATGGCTGTGAAAAGATGTTCAATATCACAAATCGTCCAGGGAAGTGCAAATCAGAACCGCAAGAAGCCATCGCCTCACACAGGTCAGAATAGCTGTTTTAAAGAAAGAGAAGAATCAAGTGTTGGTGAAGATGTGGAAAGGACTCTCTGTGCACTGCTGGTGGTAATGTCAGTTGGAGCAGCCACCAAGAGAAACTGTGGAGGATGCCCCAAAGTTAGAAAAAGACCTACCATATGCTACAGCTCCACTTTGGGGTATTTACCTCAGAAAACAAACACTAATTCAGAACACGAGCCTTTATGCTCCTTGTGTTATCAGAGCAGTCAGATGCGCAAACAGCCTAATGTTCTGTGGACACTGTGTTCTCTCTCACACACGCACTCCCTCACACACACACAAACACTAAAAACGAAATTTTGCCATTTTCAGCTCTGCAGACGGACCTTGAAGACATTATGCTGAGCACATACAGAGGGGCAAATACTCTATGGTTTCTCTTAGATGGGGATGTAAGAAACATCATGCAAACCAAATACAGCTTGATGTGGCAATTAAAGAGGATGATTTGGGATGGATGAAGAGGGGTCAGCAATGTAGCGCTGGGTTCCATCCCTGGCACCACACATGTACACGAAGCAGTGCAAGCTTCCAGTTACAAGATCAGTAAGGAAGTAAAACGTATGTCAAAGTGACTGAATCAACACAAGACAGGAGAAATTTGAAGGACTGGGGCATGTGCTTTGCAGGAGAAGGGCCTGATTTAGCCTGGGCGTTGAACGCGCCCATCAGGAAGAGTGTCACTCCACCACCCCTTCTTGTATTGCAAGCGTGAAAGTTACTTTGATGATCATCTTAGGATCTTATAGGCTGGAAGGATTATCCTATACCTCAAACTATGTGTTAATCATACTACATTTAAAAGCATCCAGACTGTGAAAGCTGTGTCGTTAAGCTGGACACAAGACAACAAACCATCTTTCCTTTTGAAGAACAACTCCCCATACCCTGTAAAGAAAATTCCCATCCAAAACAACTTCCAGACTCATCCCATTCCGGCTATGGAGGTCCCTGACACTCCCCTTCCCCCAACAGTGCCTGTCCCCACCCGCACCCCCGCTCCAGCACTGTCACAGCACTTATTCCTGTGTCAGCCCAGAGCCAGAGATGCTGGAAGCAATATAGCTTGTTCCAGTTTTCACAGCTGAACTGCTGCAGGAGATCACTTGAACTTAGCTCACAGGCTTATTTTTCCAGCCCTTCTTAGCTTCTGCCAGCCATTCAGACCCCCCAGAACCAGAAACTTAGTTCTGTCAGTACAGTTCTGACCCGGGTGCTAATTGTTCTAAATGAGCAACTATGCCTCATTATCACCATCTTCTCCTCAGTACCACTGAGTCAGAAGGAATGAGTGCTGGAAAACCCTAAGAAAGAAGTGGGTTCTTTCCCTTTTTGGAGTAGATATTTTTTTTAAAAAAAAAAAAGAAAAAAAAAAGACTAAACACCATGTTGAAACAATTCAAGTTTAATCTGTTGATATAGGTTCTGTACTTAGACAAACACTAACTTCTACAACATACATAATGTCGACATGGGAAAATACCAACTGTCATTGCACATACCAATAAATAAATACATTTGCTCCAGAATACCAAAGTTTATTCAAAAAGTCACTTAATAAAAGCACAGTTTTGCAAGTTTGTCTAAAATTCCAGATAATTCTGAACAAAAATAAGATGTCTGACCACTCCAAAGTAGGCTAAGACAGTCTTGTGCAAATAGACATACACGTTCTAGGCATTATGAAAACTGGCTAAATGTATGCTCCCAGTAAGAGAACTGTCACCCACCCATCCTGACCAAGTCCCCTTCGTCACCGATGCAGGGCTGAGGCGAGAGTTTGGGAGCCCCTCTCAGTTCCCTCCAGGAGACTCGGGGTCTCTGCTTCCCTTGGCTTTGCCTGGGCCCGGACCAGGGGTGGGGGGCACGATGGAACGAAAGAGAGGAGGGGTGAGAAGTCTTTCTTAGGAAAGAAAAAAGGCACAGTGATGAGCTAGAAAAGGGAGCGGTGAACGCAAGTGAACTTTCATTCACTCCAACTCCTACGCTAAGCTTGTGTGCGGATGAGAAAACGGACCAAGAAAGAAGGGGAGACAGGGTTTGCTCTGGATCCCGAGTGCCACTCTCTGCCTGACCAGCCAGCCTCTCCCAGCGTGGCTAGAAACCTCCAGAACCCCAACCTGCCCCAAAGCGCCTGTCACGTCCCCTCCACCATGTCCTTGAGATGACAGCAAACTGCAGGTACAGAGCCAGGCAACCAGAGGACCCAAGTGAGAGCCTGGCCCTCCGCCTCTTCTGGGACCACATGAGCCACCAGGTTGGACTCCAGCCCACGTAGAGCCTGGCATCCCCGAGAACAAACACGCTCAGCTATTCGGAAAGTGTGCTGAGGGTCACCTGCTGTCCTGAGCTCAGGAGAGGGGGCGGGCTGGCGGGAAGGGCCTCCCTGGGCCCAGACGGGATTGTGCTTGCGACCAGGCCTCCCCGGGCCTCTGCAGAGCTGCCTGTCTCACCTGGGGGTGGCTGCCCCCGAGGTCTCTACCACCACCTGTCCTCAGCCGGGACCTGCACCTGCCACGTTCCTTCTGAACTAGTGTAGTGATTTTTAAGGCACATTCACTAGAACATGTCCAGATTCACCCCAAAGCCCGACGGGCGACACGCTGCTTGCTTTCAGTTTGGGAGAGAATGAGAAACTCCGCGTTCTGGGCTGGGGTCCTCGAGGCCGGAGCCGTGGGAGGGGACGCTAGCACTTTCCCACGCCTGCCTTCTCATCCCAGGGCATGAAATGATTGGACAAGAGCCACAGGTGACCGGGACTCTTCCTCGGGCGAGGCGGCTGCCAACCAGACACCTCGGCAGATGGTGTGTGGCTTGCCCTTTGCCCCGGAATACACACAGACACACAAACACAGACAGACAGACAAGACAGACACAGAGCACCTTGAAGCCAGAAGGAAAGAAAAGCTAGAACTGAGAAGTGTTTGGGGGGGAACGTGACATGTCCCCTTGCTGGACGGAGAGGGGAGGAAGGTACAGAAGAGTCACCAGGACTCCCGGCCACCTGTCACCCACAGGTTCTGCCCTTCCAGCTCCCGGACCTCCAGTCCAGCCACCCGCGAGGGTACCGAGCGGGGGATCTTACTGCGGGGGAGGCTGGGCCCTGGGGTCAGGAGTGGGGGGTGGGGGGGTGGGCTGGCAGCATTAGTCTTTGGCTGGGAGGCCCGTGGTGAGGCTGCTGGCAGCACAGGAAGGGGGTCGCCAGGGACCCAGCTTGCCAACGGGTGACTCAGCTGCTCTTGTTTGTCACTCAATGTCTGGCTCGAGACTCTTCTCTGGTGCCTGTCCCCGCTTGACCCTGTGACGTTAACCAGTCAGCTCTGCCTGGGCCGGCCCCTCTGTACCCCGAACCTTCCCTCCCACACCCCAGTTTCCTCCTGGCAGCTTCCCCCTGTGCTTCTGCTTCCTCCACTCTGCCACCCGGCTCCCTTCTCTCCCGAGCACCCAAACAGGCCCCGAGAAGTGGTGGCCGCTGACGGTAGAGACTGACTGGGCCCCGCCAGCCCTGGTGTCAGGGGACCTCCCGCAGCAATCAGGAAAGAGGGTGGAAAAGCAAGACCCCTGGGCGGTCCCCGGAGCACTGGAGGAAGCAGCGTCTGCTGCTAAAAACGAAATCACCGAGATCACCAGAGGGGCCACCCCTGAAGGGAGGGGCCCGGTCTGAGCAGGAAGCGGTACTGGCTGGATGCTCTGACTCCTGGCCAGGTAGACTGCAAGGGCTCGAGGAACCCTCTCCCCCACCAATACAGAGGCTCACTCCCATGCTCCAAGTGTGATTTTAAAACTTTTTTTTTTTTAAACAGGAATGTCCAAGCACATCTACTCCGAGAACCACTGCGAGCTTTCTTCCAGCCCCCATCTGGTCAAAGGCTGGGCAGCACCTCCGAGGGAAGGCTGGTGGGGTGAGGGCAGAGGGGTCCCTGGCCTGACACCAGCCTCCCTCCCTCCCCTCCTTGCTCTCAGCAGGGAACTGCCTGCTTTCAAACGTTAACTGGCAGAACTGACGACAAGGGTGAGGGAGGGGATGTGACCCGGGTCCTCCAGAAGGCCAGAGAACCACTAGAGCTGTTTCTCAGGGGTGCTGAGGTCCGAGCTCAACCGTGTACCAGCCAGGGTGCCGGGAGGGGATGGGGTGCGGCCGGGCTCTGAGCAGGACGCCCCCAAAGTGGCAGTTGTGTACTAGCTGATCTCTAAGCATTCTAAACCCTTGGGTCAAACTGGGATCCCAGCCCAGCACCACAGCGACCATGTCCTCGGGGGGTGCCCGGAGCTGGGTCTTCCCCAGGGAGCCTTGGCGTAGTCCTCTCTCTGGGCATGTGCAGGGCCCGAGGGGCTTAGGCTGGGGGGCTGTGCCCACAGCGCCCCGCCCCCAGCCCCACTGGCCTGCGTGCGTCCTCTGAGTCCAGGCCCAAACCCGGGCCTGGGAGGAGCTGCTGGACAGACAGCTTCCAGGCCCAGCTGACGGGGCTCCTTGGGCAGCCCCAGGGTGGGATTCAGGATGCTGAGCCTGAGTCCCACACGCCTCCCCCGCCCTGGCTGGGCCTGACCATGAGGGTCAGCTTCCGCCACCTCCGTGAGCAGAGGAAACCTAGAGACATCAAGCGGGCCAGAACTCGGGGCCACCAGCCGGCTTCCGCGACAGTCAGTCGGATCCCCGCATAAGCCCCCCTCTCACCTCCCCGCACTGCCCTGAAACTTCGCCCCCGCTGTTCTGCTGTCCTGGGGGGTTGCCAGCCTTGGCTTCCAGTCCTTTGGCCCTGGCCAAGCTCCTACACACAGAGCACTGGTCATGGGGGGGCATCTGGGGACGCCGGGCTCTGGGGCCAGTACGGCTGGGCCCTCTGGCAGCCCTGGGTTGTGCTTCCTCTCCTTCCACACCTCTTCCCCGCTGAAGAGGGCGCCCAGCTTGGCAAACAGGATGGCAGCAGGACACGGCCCGAGAGCGGGGCTGCGTGTCGGTTACAGGACACAGAGAGAACCCCTCCTCTCTCCCCGTCCTTCACACCTACCCAGCATCAGAGGCGGAGATGCCAGTGCCTGGCCTGGCCAGCAGGGCCAGGGGCGCCCCCCACCACGCCACCCCACCCCGAGAGCCACGGGTTCATCTGCAGGAGGCCTATGTACAGAAGGCTGGCGGGGCCATCTCCATGGGGAGGCGGGCAGCCCTGCAGCGGGCCAGGCGATCCCCAAGGGCACCCGACGGCCTCTACTCGCACGCCAGCTTGCTGTCGAAGCTCGACAGGGCGATGGCAAAGGCCTGCAGAGCGCACAGCGGGTAGTTGTAATCCATGGTGAACACATCCTCCGCCACGCGGCCGAACTGCATCACGATGTAGTCGGCTGGAGCCGGGCGGAGCGCGGATCAAGGGACGGGCAGGCGGAGCAAGCGAGGAGACGCAGGCCACCGGAAGAAGAGCAAGCAAGGAGCAGAAAAGCAGGAGGAGGAGAGGTGGACAGAGGCAAGAAGACGCAGGTGGCAAAGGAGAAAGCGCAGTACAGACGAAGAGTGGGGTACGGGGACAAAGAGAAAAACGTCTGTTCACCGGCTGCTGCCACACCCCCAGGCTGCCCAGGACCCAGAATCTCGGGGCAGGCTCCCAGGAAGGTTCCTCCCAGGGCACCCGGGTCATTCCAGGTAGAAAATTCTCCGTGTCTAATCTAAGCTGGGTCACCCATGTCCTTATGGGCAGGGCCGGGGCAGGGGCTGACCCCTGGGCTCGGGGCCTGGGGGGTACCGTGCGGAGGTGGCCAGGAGGGATGTGGACACTCACGGTCATTGCCGTGGATGATCTGGAAGTTCTTCACGGAGGCCTGCGTGACACGCCCATGGAAGTTGAGCACGTAGGACTGGGTGTCGTCGTTCCACACAGGTGTCTTGTTCTGCAGCTCGATGATACTCTCCGTGTTCTTGTTCTGCCAGCGCGCCAGCAGCGTCTCGTGCTCCTGCGAGGGCAGCCTCGGCTGAGCCCGGCACCAGAGAGGGCGCCTCCTGCCGGGCGTCCTGCACTGGACTTGGGGGTGCTAGGAGGCCCAGGGCAGTGGCGGGGGAGGGGGGAGGGGGCTTGGGCGTGGCAACACTCACGTTTCGGGGTCGGATGGAGACTCTCTCATGAACCATGTTCATGCCCGGCACAATCACGCTCATCTTCCGGGGGCCCTTGAAACCCAGGACGTTTGTCTCCTGGGAAAGGGCAAAAAGACCCGATGCTGACCATCTGGGACCCCCTGTCCCATTGGACACAGTGCAGCCAGGAGGGAAGTGAGTCCATGAACACGTGTCTACCATCACCCCAGGAGTGGCCAACAGACACTCCAGAGTCAAGCGGCTGTCTCCCCAACTCTGCATACCCCCAACCCCTTCTTGCCATCTTCCCTGTTCTGTGACAGCAGCTCAGTTCTTCCCCTTGCTCTGGCAAAAAGGGCCTGGACACCCCGTCCCCTCTCATGCCCACTTCTCATGCAAATGGGAGCTCAGAGGCTCCCAGACTCACTCGGCCTCCAGTCTCCTTTCAGAAAAAAAAAAAGACAACCCTCCCCCTTCCCTGGAAACCCACCTTCTTTAAGCAGTGTCCCACCCCTGCCTGATGCACCCAAGGTGACCACATGCCCTTGGATGGTCCCAACACTCCTCCAATGAGTGGCATCACCCCTCCCTGCTGGGAGACACAGCTTCAACTGGACTCCTGGCTCCTCTCTGTGGTGTCCTGGCCCCTCTGTCTTTCTGGGACACCTGTCACTGGTCCCTGCATAGCACCCACTTGTCCTGCGGTACCCAATCACTGTCCTCCGCAGTTCACAGTAAAAGCTGAAGATCTGACTTTGACCTCAACTCCTTGGTCCGAGCCCCGACTGTTTGAGCTCCCCCCGCCACAACCACAGGACTGTTCCCCAACCTGCTGCCTTCTCCCCAGTACCTGCTCGGCAGGTGCTTACTTTCCTCTGGCCTCTACCCTCTGCACCGCCCTCCCCAACACCCACATCCTCTGGGCATGGCTGAGGGCTCCTCCCTGCTTCTTCCGGTCCCTCCCAGCATTTATCTGGAACACAGTGACTTCACCCATCGAGTGCCATCACTTCTGTCCCGCGCTAGAGGAAAGACACCCCACCCCCCACCCCCTGGGTGTACATCTGTCTGTTGTGCTCACTCCTACATCCTCAGTCGGGACCTCTAACTGCACCCGGACCTGCTGGAGTTCAGCCGGCTCCTTGAACTGCCTTGCCAAGGCTGACCAGCAGGTGGCACCACTGGTCCATGCAAACAGCCGGGAATTGCACCCAGGTGTTCAGAATGAGGTTAACATGTGCCCTATGTCGAGTCTGGTCATTTATACAGCGTGTGACCTGTGCTAAGCCCCAGCCTCTGAGATTCACTTTCTTCATCTACATGGTCCACTGGGCTGTATGCACGAGGGGTCTCGCAGTCCACGCGGGGCCTGAATACCAGAAGGAAAGGAAATGTGCCCACGGCACCAGCAGGCCACCTGCCCTCCTCTCTGCTGTATGGAGCCAGGTCTGTCCCCTGAGCTCCCCGGCAGCTGGCCGGCTGTGGTCTGGACTCAGACAGGGGAGATGGGCAGGGCCTTTTCCCAGCCAACGGTCACTGCTCGGATGACAGCCCACCTCAGTGCCACCTTGAGGGATGGAGAGATGGGGGAGATGGGAGAGATGGGAGAGACAGGCGAGGGTGGGCGGGGTCTGAGTGAGTGTGGGTGCCCGTGGAAGGGCTGCAACTGGGCCCGGGACGCAGCACTCACGTAGCACACGGCCGCCAGCTCCTGGCGCAAGGTTCCGCTCTCCAGAGTGGAGGACGAGGCCTTCTGAGGGTTGACTCCATTGTCGTAAACAGTGAACTTGGTGCCCATGAGGTTGGACCTGAGGATGGGCACAGTCAGGAAAGGGCCGGGTACCCTCTGCCCCAGACTGGGAACGGCTCAGTGCGCCCCTCTGGGCAGGCGGGTCAGGGGGCCGGGGTTCACTGAACCCCTTCTTGGGAGGTAGACGTGGCAACAAAGGGCTTCTCCATGTGGCGAGGGGTGGTCAATGGGGACCTCTGGGCTTCAGGGTTTCCATGAAGGAGCGGGGTCCAGAGTGGCCTCCAGCCAGGGAGCAGTGGAGATTCCAGCCCCCCTGAAGGGCAGGTGAGGGCACGTTCCAGGCAGTGGAGTGGGGTCCAGTTAGTGCCTTACCTCTGCGTTTGCTCTCTGCCCCCCAACCTCGAGCTCTGCCCACACTCTCCCCTGAAGCCTGGCTCAAGACCCCCTTATCCCCTCAACAAGGAGGCCGGGACCCTCCTCTTGCAGGGGGCTCGCTCTCAGCGCTCACCCTGAGGCCCAGGTGGCTCCCCCCAGGGGTCTCTGTCATCAGCGACACTGTGGGCCATGAATTGTGGGGGCCCCATCACCTGACTGGGAGCAGCTTGGGGTGAGAAGGCATTCCCCACCTTTGGCTCCAGTTAGCACAGACCCGGGCCTATGAGGGGTCCAGTAGGCAGAGGAGACCCTGGGAACAGATCCCAGGCCCCCTCTCTCCCACCTAGGAGCTGCCCTGGGGGATGGCCTGCCCCGCCCCTTCCCCTCCCTCACCCCCCCAGCTTTGGGGTCCAGGTACCGCAGTTTTCCGATGTAGCTGTCCCCTCCTCGAGACAAGTCCGTGGGGTCCACAGAGATGAGGTAATTGGAAGTTTTGCTCTTCTTTCTCTTCCTTCCAGCCAGGAGGAAGACCTTGGGGAGTGGAGGAAGGGCCTGTCCCGCAGCAGGGGTGGAAGGGGTGCAACGCCCCCCACCCCCCACACTCTGGGCACATGCTGAGGGGGGTTGCTGGCCAGCTTGGAGGCCCTTCTGCCTCAGGGGTGGGGGGCCGTGCTGCCCCTGCACCTCACCTTCTTCCCGTCCTCCCGGTCCAGGTGCAGGAAGTAGGTGGGGTACATGCCGCGGTCCATGCCCTTCTTGTCCCGCGTGATGCGGCACTTGACGGTGATGCCCTGGGGTGCCGGTCGCACTGCAAACTCCTCCAGGTCCTGGACCTCCACCTCTGCTGGCGGCTCAGGGGCTGTCGGGCTGGGGGCCGAGGCGGCCTCCTATGACGGGGTGAGAGAAGGGGCGGCCACCTAGCTATGCACTATGCACGGAGCGCGTGGGCGAGAGGGCGGGATCCCTGCACCGTGGCCCTCCTGGTTCAGGGGTCCCTGAGGTGGAGACTTAGGCACATTCTCAGAGACCGGGTCCAAACCCCCTACCCCCGGCTGAACCAGCCTGGCTGTAGCCGCCCCGGGCCACTCACCCTGACCACAGACTTGCGGCTGGTGGCGGAGCTGGGGCGGGTGTTGGTGTTGAGCTGGGAGGAGCTGGAGCTGTTCTCTTCCTCCTCCTCCTCCTCGAAGCTCATGCTGCTGGAGATGCCTGGGCCACGCAGGGCGGTGGGGGGTGGCAGGGGAGAGCAGAAGCAGGTGAGCAGGGGCCTCCACCCGCCACATCCCGTCCCCATCACTGCCTGCCCACCCATGTGTGCACACAACACCACACCCAGGCACGCACAGAGCCACAGGTATGCATGCACACACACACACACACACACACACACACATAAACACACACACATACACACACAAGCATGCATGCACACATTCGGACACTTGGTACACGTATGACGGGGCCTTCGCAACCCTCAGAATGGGCCCTCCCCAGCTCCGGCTCGGACACTGCATCCGGCCCCTGCTGTGTCTGGGGGAGGGGGAGGCGGGGGATGGACTACAGCCCCCTGGGGTGGGTGGTGCCGGGCCACGGCCTGCGAAAGGCCCCACTCATCACTCGGGTGCCCTCCTCACTTCTGCCCAGTAGGACACCTGGACCCGAGTCCTCGGTGCCTGCGTGCCTGCCTCCCCCCAGCTGGTACAGAGGGGCCCCTGGAGCAGGGCTGCCCTGGGAAACTGGGCGAAGGGCTTTCCGGGTTTGCCCTGTACTGTGTGCCTTGTGCCCCAAGCCCGGCAGCCCACAGGGGCCCTCCTGCAGAAGCAGGGCAGAGCCGTCCCCGCCGGGCTGAGGGTGCAGTCGGGTGCGGTGGTGGGTGGTGCCTCCCACCCGCACTTCTGTCCCTGGGGCTCCCCGGGGGCCCTGCCCAAGTCCTTCACTGGCCTCTGAGGTGCCCCCACCAGAGCCTGGGCAAGGCTGAAACAAGGAGCGCCACGACCCCGAAGCAGGGCACGTCTGAGAAGCTGGGGCAGGGGCTGAGCTTTCGGGGGTGTCGTGGACCCCCCACGGGGCTCACCCTTCCTCTGCATCGTGGCACGGAGGTCCTGCGCGCCGGGCTGTGCGCCCCCTCCGGCTGCTGGCTCCCCCGCGTCCTGGGCATGGTCTGAGCGGCCCACAGTCAGGATCTGCACTGGGGTGCGGGACTCACCCTTGTCTTCTGCCAGCGCTGCTGGCCCGCGGGCGCCTGCGGGCGGGGACACTCTTGAGTCCCCGCGGGGTAGAAATGGGGGTGGCCTGGATCCTCAGCGGCGGTCCAGGAAGGAGGCTGGGGGCGAGGTGGGGTTGGGGGGGGGGGAGCGGCTGCAAAGCTGGACTTGGTGAAGCTCATTTTACGGAAGAAATGACCGCAGGGCCCTTTTGCAAGCTCCAAAGGGGCGCGGGGGCCCCATTTCCTCAGCCACCACCAGGAACAGGATGCGGAGGGCTGCTTTCCCCAAGACAGACAGACAGACAGTAGCAGCTGACAGCACCAAGGGGCAAAGCGAAGCAGCCAAAGCAGGGGGCGGGCAAGGCGGCAGCCAGGCTCTCGGGGGGGGCAGGGGGCAGGAGGGGCAAGGCTCCGGGCACACGCGGCCCTGGCGCGGGGCAGGATGCGGGTTCTCACTCGCTCTCTCCCAACGGACACACACACAGCGGCGCACACACTGCGACAGACTCGGGCCTGAGAAGACTGCAGGGTGGCACCCACACCCCCAACACCCTGCTCAGAGACAGAGAGGCCTGACCCCTCACCAGGGACTCCCCCCCAATGCTGACTCAGCTCTGGGAGCTGCCGACCCCTGGCACACCACCCACCCTCAGGGACCCCAGGGCCCTAACAGCCCAGCCCTGGCCCTGGCACAAAGCTTCAGAAAACAGGCGTAGAAGGACCCAGGCCATGACGCCACATGTCCCCAATGGGGGGGGGGGGGGTCCTATCTGCAGAGGTCCAGAAGGGTCGGGCCAGGACTACAGTAGAGCTGAGAAACCCATGTAACACTGGGGGAGGGGGTCCCAGAAGGCCCCAGCTGGGTAGGAGAAGGGCTCAGGTCAGGCAGTGAGGGGCCGAGAAGGAGTTGGCAGGGTGGGGGTCACTGTCATCCTGCGCCTTCTGGAAGCTTCGCCCCCAACCCCGCCTTTCCCCTTCCCCTGAGGACCCCCAAGGGGCCCCTGGGGGAGCCAGGCCTCCTGAAGGGTGGACACATGGGGCAGCCAACCTTTGTGCTTCCCCTTCTTCTCCTTCCTAGGGGCCCCGCCCTGGCCCCCCGCCGCCGCCTTGCTTCTTGGGGCCGTGGCTGGTGCTGACGGGCGGCCACTGCCAAGGGAGTCGGCCTCTTGGACTGCCCAGGAGAGAGCCCGAGACAGAGACGGAGACAGAGAGAAACGGGCACTCAGCGCCATAAGAAACCCCCGACCCCGTCTCTCCACACCACCGCCGCCCCCCCCGCCCACCCAAGCCCCACCAGGATGTCCGCCACACCTCTAGACGCCCCCCTCCCAAAAAAAATTCTGGGTCTCAGGTCAGGCAAAGTGGAAGAGGCAATGCTGCTGGCACAACGCGAGCGAAGTCTGCAGCAGGCAGACAAGGATGGACACGTCCTCAGAACTCTCTGAGCACGAAGCCTGGGTGGGGCAGGGGGCGTGGACATGACCACATCCAGGCAGGGGGTTCCAAATCCTCCAAACCGCAGTTCAGAGAACCCCAGTCTGCCCGAAGGCTCTTTTTTTTTTCCTTTTTGGGTCACACCTGGTGATACACAGGGGCCACTCCTGGCTCTGCACTCAGAAATTAGTCCTGGCAGTGCTCAGGGGACCATATGGGATGCTGGGAATCGAATCCAGGTGGGCCACACGCAAGGCAAATGCCCTACCCACTGTGCTATCTCTTTAGCCTTGCCCGAAAGCTCTTGTGGTTTCCCACTGCTGTCAGGTGGAAATTCTCCTGCCCGTGGAGCCCTTCAGCTCCCCACCTACAGTGCTGGCCCCTTTGCACACTTCCTGGCCACCAGACCAGCACCAGCAAGCACTAGACTCAGACCACCCTGCAGAGTCAGCTCAGGGGACCCTTCCCGGACCCCTTTGGGTCAGTCACTCATTCACTCTGCAGCCTGTCTTCATTCTGCCTGCCTGGCCTGGCTGATATGCTGATCTCTCTCCCTACCCGGCCTCTAAGTTCCAGCAGGAAAGAACCAACCATCATGCCTGTCCTCTGGGAGTGTCCAGGGTCCCTAGCCTTGAATGGGAAAACCCTCGATGAATACTGAGAACATGGTGTGACTCTGCGGAGGTGGGGGGGGGGGGCAGGCTAATTAGCCTCACTGTGGCGGCCACCTGGCAGTATATGCAAACACCTAACCACTGGGCTGCCAGTCGCCAGTGGACACAAAGGTTCATGAGGAGCAGCCTCGTCTAAAAAAGAAAAACGATTACTGTGCCTAGCCTGCAAAACTTCAGATAAATACAACTGGGTGACTATTTAACACGAATTACATGGTAATATAACCTGGCCAGTGGGTCAAAAACTATTTCTTCTGTTAGTTTGTTTTGGGCCACACCCAGCGATGCTCAGGGGTTAACTCCTGGCTCTGCACTCAGGAATCACTCCTGGTGGTGCTTGGGGGACCATATGGGATGCCGGGGATTGAACCCAGGTTGGCTGCGCGCAAGGCAAACACCCTACCTGCTGTGCTATCGCTCCAGTCCTCGAAAACTATTTCCCAAACTATTTCCCATCATGAGACTGGCTCAAAGCCTCGAGCCAGTCTGGGGACAGGCCTTCCCTTCTGATTTCTGGCCAATTCCCTTCCACTCCTGCTAAGCCTGTGTTTCACACTAGAGCCAGCAGAGGGCAGTGCCCGGGAGGGCGGGAGCCCCTGATCCTAAGTCCGCAGCCTGGGCTGTGCTGCCTCCCCGCCCGCCCAAGCCCCGTCCCCTCCCACCACAGCTTTGCCGGCAGCTGGGCCCTGCATCGGCAGGTTCCCCCAGAGAAGTCACAGAAGCACCGTGGTGGCAATGTGGAGCCGGGGTGGACCAGGCCTCGTGCAGGCGAAGCCTGTGCTCCAGCCCTCTGAGACTCCTCGCTCGCCCTGCTTTGAACCCGCTCAGTCCCGAGACAGAGCCACCCTCATTTGACAGGGGTGAAACGAGCCAGAGAAGGCGATAAACTTGCTGGGTCACAAGGGAGAGGAGGAGTGGCCGTGACATGTGCAGACCCCCGTCTCTGCAGTGGGCGACCCTCTCCTGAGCTGTGCGCAGGCTCTCTGCAGCCTGGCACTGCCCAGCAAAATCAGCACAAGGGGGGATGGGGGAGGGGGCAGGGACACCTGCCACCAACAGTCCTCATCATCAGATGACCATCAGTCATCATGAGACTGGCTCAAAGCCTCGAGGCACTGTCTCTGGCATAGTCCCAGGGGCCCCAGAAGCGAGTGCTCATTCCTTCCGGGAATGGCCTGGGCAGGGCTGGGGTGGGGGTCCCAACAGCGGGTGCCTCTCTGTCCAGCTCAGCACGCAGAGGAAGGGTATGGAGGGGCTGCAGGACCGGTGGGTTCAAGGACGGGTTCTGGGCTGGGCCTGCAGGTCTTTCCCACTCAGCACGGCTGAGCTGAGCTCCCTGTTCCCTGAAAAGGCACACACATAGCCCAACCGGGCCCCCCAGTCACTCCCTCCCCCCAGTGGGAGGCAGATGCAGGGAAAGCAGTGGGAAGCAGCATCCCCTCAGGGAGGCAGCACCAGCTGGTGAAAAGGGCACCGAGTGTCCGGCAGATTTGGGCTCGGACACCAGCAGCAACCCCTAGCCAGGGCGCTTCTCAGCGCCCCTGGGGACCAGGACAGGTTGTGAGCAATGAATGAGACGAAGCAGTCACAGCGCCAAGCACCAGGCTTAGCCATGGCCAAGGGCGCAAGCCGACCCTTCCTACTGGACAGCGAAGGGGCCTCCTGGGAGGGACTAGGGCCCACACGGTACGCAAGATCAGGAGACAAATCTGTTGTGGCTGTCATCAGCACCCTTTGAGCGACATAGGGACCCCCCTCGGGTTAAGGGACGGGTTGCCAGAGCCTGGGAGGCTGGGAGCCAAGGTGCGGGAGGACCCAGAGGCCTGGCAGAAAAGGAGAGCCCTCAGGTGTGTGTGTGTGTGTGTGTGTGTGTGTGTGTGTGTGTGTGTTGGGGGAGAGAGCCTGGTGGCCTGGCAGTAAAGGAGAGCCTTCAGCTCTGTGTGTGTGTGTGTGTGTGTGTGTGTGTGTGTGTGTGTGTGTGTATGTATGTGTGTGTGCTGGGGGAGAGAGCCTGGTGGCCTGGCAGTAAAGGAGAGCCTTCAGCTCTGTGTGTGTGTGTGTGTGTGTGTGTGTGTGTGTGTGTGTGTGTGTTGGGAGCCTGGGGGGTGGGGGGGAGTGTTAAACCGGTTGTAGGCTCTGCCTCCTGAGAAAGTTGTTCCTGCGCCAGCGAAGGCGAAGCTTCACCAGCAGGGGGCAGTGCAGATCCAGTTCCAAGGCTCTGTGAGGCCGTGTGAGCTGGCCCAACCCTCTCTGGATCCTGGTGAGGATTGGGGTGAGGTGGATCTGTAGAGATGCACCCCCACAGGGATTTGCTGTGGGGGAACTGGAGGGTGTGGATGGAGCTGGTGACTGTGGTCTGACTTGGCTCAGAGGGCAGGTGTGGGACCTGGTAGAGTCACATAGGGGATGGAACGGGGTGAAGAGAGAGCCAGGGAGCGGGGACAGGGCCTGGCTGCAGGCAGGCTGCTGACTGGATTCCTCTCAGGAGACAGAACCCGGCGGGGAGCAGCCGTTTCAGCTCCTGGGAGCTTGGGACCCCTCCTGCCGTCTGGGAAGCACCCGCCAGAAAGCCTGGACTCTACAACTCCTGGACACAGAAAAGTTTTCGCCTTCCGGGGCCAGAGAGAGCGCTCAGAGGGCTGGCGCGTGCATGCAGGAGGCCTGAGTTCAATCCTGGGCTCCACCAACAGTCACAAGCAGCCCCTCCACCCAGCACAGAGCCAGGAAGAGCCCCTGAGCACCGGCGGGTGTGGCCCAAGAGCAAGGAAGGAAGAAATGAAGCATCAGCATCTGGCTTCGACCCCGGCACTGAGAGCTGCCAGCCCCTGCAGGAGCCCCCCACCCCCACCCCCACCCCGCCGCCCCTGAGCTGGGACCTTTACCTCACCTGCCCAGGGGCTGCCCTGGGGAGCGGGCAGGTAAGGGGGGTACCTTGGTAGCTGGTGCCGCCCCCGCTGCTGAGGTAGGACTCCACCAGGGGCGCCTGCTCCTCCGAGTGCCGAGCCCGCCGGCTGCGGGGCCGCCCTGCGCCATCAGCGTTGGCCTGCACCATCAGGGGCTCCTGGCGCTTCTTCTTCTGCTTCTGCTCCAGCAGCGCCCGCTGCACAGGTACCGGGACAGGCACGAAGGTGGGGCCCCGGAGACGCAGCCTGAGCCCCCCGCCCCAGAGAGGAGGACCAGAGAGAAGGTCCTGCTTCCACAGCTGGGTTCCAGAGGCCTCCACAGGGGAAGGTGCCTGGCCCAGCGGGGTCCCGGCCTCACATCCGTGGCTGCCCGGGACTTGGGGGCCAGGAAAAGGACACAAGTCCCGTCCCCTGGAAGCTAGGGACCCCCAGCAGCAGACACGACTGTGCTCTCCCGCATCCGGGCATCCCCCTCAGAATGGCCCGCAACCCCCTCCCTGCCCCCAGCCCCAGGCCCCCTCACCTGCCGGTCAAGCTTCTGCTGCCTCAGATTGCTCCCTTCATCATCTAAGACACTGTGGAGGGAGAAGCGGGGAGACGGGGTTACGAGCCTGCCGGGTGCCGGGATGCAGTCCAGAGCCCACCCCCACCACGAAGGACTCGTCTCAAGCACGCCCTGGTCGTCCCGGGGCCTGTGGTTCCCGGGTCTCGGGGCCTTGCGGGGTGGGAACACCCGGAAGGTGCTCTCTGGGACCAGCAAGCTGGAGAACCTCCTTCTGGGACTTGGGGAACGTGTTTCCTGCTGAGGTCCCTGCGGCCTGTGAGCATTGCTGGGCCCTGTCCTCTGCGCTCTGGGAGAGATTGGGGGGAGGGGGGTCCCAGACGGACAGGCTCTCTCCCGCTCGGTAGGGAGCACAGCAGGGGGATGAAACTGAGAGCAGCCCTGGAGGCAGGCGCGGTGGTGGAGGGTGTCAGGCACGCACAGATCCCAGGCACGGCGCTGACACTGCTGAGGCCGAAGGCCGTGGACACACAGTCTGGCCCTGCCTCCCTGGAGTTTCACTTCTCGGGGTTCTCTGTGTCCAGTCCCACATTCCAGGGGAGACAAGGTGCGCTGCCTGGGAGTGGGGCAGAGCAGAGCTCCCCAAACTTATTTGACCTCTAGGTGCTATTTCAGGAAAAAAATATTCCTCAGTCACCCCCCGGAAAGTCACCTTTATTAAGCAAACAGAAAGTGCCTCCCAATCGCATCTGAGACAACTAACCCCCACCCCCACTCCAGCCTCTCCCCAAACAATCCAGCACCCCCTGGGGAGGCAGTATCACCCACACTTTGGGTGTTTTGGGAGGGAGAAACATCCACAGTGCTCAGGGGTTACTCCTGGCAGTGTGCTCAGGAGAACCTCAGGAATGCTGGGGATCGAACCAGTGTCGGAGCCTCACCTGCGCTATCACCGGTCAGTTGCCATCCGCTTTGGGAAACACTGGGTTAGAGGCTGAGGGCCTGAGCTCCGGGACCCCCAAGGCCGCCCTGGCCTGACTCTGCGGGGCCTGACACAGCTCCCTGTCTGCAGGAGAGACTCTAGGATGGTGTGTGGTTCTCTCAGACACACGCTCACGTGGGGAGGGTCAGCACAGGCCCTGTGCTGGAGCAGACATGCCAGGGACCATGAATGGCATGTTGGCAAAGATGAGGTCCAGGTCCTCCCAGAAAGTGGAGGAGCTACGTCCACCTCTTTCAGACTCCTTTCATTTCACTTTGTTTTGCTGGTGATGGGCCGGGGGGGTGGGGGGAAAGAGTTCACACCGGGCGGTGCTCTGGGACAGTTCCTGGCTCAGTGCTCAGGACTGGTCCTTGGTAGAGCTTGGGGGACCACATGCATGCCAGGGACTGAAGTGGAGGCTGTTGAATGCCAGCCAAGAGCCTTACCACTTCCTTTCTAGCCGGAATAATCAGTCATGGGACGGGGGGGGGGGGGGGGGGGGGGGGCTGGGGAGGGGGGGAGTCCAGGGACCACAGACAGATCCCCAGGCCCACAAGCTTCCTCTTTCTCCCACCCTGGTCACAGCCAATGAGGAATCCATATTTCTCGGGAGCAACTGTCCCACTTACGTGCCCTCTCAGAGGTTTTACCCGGGCTCCACGGGCTGCCCTGCTCTCACAACCACCACTGGGCAGACAACAGCCTGATGCCCCACGCCCACTGCTGCCACTGCTCAGCAGGAGACCCCGTCAACAGGCAGTTCCATATCCCTAAAGCAGTGCATCCCTCAGGCTCCCGAGGGCCTGGCCCAGGCACGCACAGGGAACCAGCAGCTCTCGGTGGTGGTGGTGGGGGGCAGCCATGGGGGATGTGCCCGGGGTTCTGCAGGGCCTGCCACAATGTTCTCGCTGCTCCCTTAACTCCTAGCCTAATAGATATGGCGGTTAGGGTCTAGCCCCTGATCCAACTGCCTAGCAAGGGTCCATTCAAGAGCCCTGGTCCCTGGGCCTCCTGATTGAGCAGTGCCTGTCCACTGGCTGTCCCCAGGATGGGAGGAGATGGCAACGCAGGGCCGGCCGGCACAGCCTGCAGGGAACCACAGGGCCTGAGCTCCAACTTGTTCTGCGCATCCAACTCGGAGGCTGGGCACACGCAGGGCGAGGCCTGTGTGACTTTCATCCCACAGCTGGGGGCCCTCGGGTGCCAGTGGGAGAAGCTGCTCCCTGGCATGTCTCACCGCCTGGCACAGAGCAAGAGCAGGGGTCTGAGCCATCCCTGGCATAGGGCTTGGTAGTGGGGGGGGGGCAAAACGAATTGCATGAGCTGATGCTAGTACCTAGGGTGCTCTGGAAAGAGGTGGGGGGCAAAGGGAAAAACCCCCTTAGAACTGCTGGACCTGGGGCTGGAGCGATAGCACAGCAGGTAGGGTGTTTGCCTTGCATGCGGCCACCCCGGGGTTCGATTCCCAGCATCCCATATGGTCCCCCGAGCACTATCAGCAGTAATTCCTGAGTGCAGAGCCAGGGGTAACCCCTGTGCATCACCGGGTGTGACCCAAAAAGAAAAAAAAAAGAACTGCTGGACCACAGTGCCTGTGCCCGTGGCAAAAAGGCAGCTGCAGCTGTGATGGCCTCCAGCCCACCTGTGCAGATGAGGGTCACTGCCTGTCCAGAGCCCCCTGCTCCACTGTCATGCCCTTTCCACCCAGTTCTGCCCCACGAAAGCGTGATACCCTCTTCCTCTGTCCTTGCCTCCTCCCTTTTGTGACAGGGAGAGTGGCAGTGAGCCCCAGGCCTCAGCATGCACCGAGCTACAAGCCTTCGGGGAGAGACGGATGAAGTCAAGGGCTCGGCTCTGGAAAAGAGACTCCAGAAACCTCAGCGACCCTGGCAGGCTGCTGAACACGCCCCGGAGAGCAGGTCCCAGAGCAGCAAAGGGCCACGTGGACGACAGCCATCGCAGGCACGAGGAGATGACAACGGGTGGGCATTTCTGTCCCACACCAGGTCCCTGCCGCGGTCAACATGTGTCCCCAACAGACTGAGCATGCTCCTCCCTACACGGCGGCGTGTTGTGAAGAGGGGGACAAAGACACGGAGAAATCTGTTTCTGCGGTAGGCAACGGCGGAGAGGGGGCAGGCCCAGAGCTCCGGGGACTTCCGAAGAGAGCTAGTTAATATGGTTGGTTGCTATAAACCTCGCACTCAGGAGGAAGCCAATCAAAAGAGATAATGAGGGGATGGAGCGATAGCATAGCGGGTAGGGCGTTTGCCTTACAAACAGCCGACCTGGGTTTGATTCCCAGCATCCCGTATGGTCCTCTGAGCACTGCCAGGAGTCATTCCTGAGTGCAAAGCCAGGAGCAACCCCTGAGCATCGACGGGTGTGACCCCCCAAATTAAAGCAAAAAAAAGAGAGAGATAATGAGATGGCTGGGGTGCGAGACGGCAGCAGAAAAAAAGGAAGCCCCCCACCCCCTAGTCAGGCCCTGTCCCTTTGGTCCTTCTTCTTTCACCCACTTTTCTCCCTCTGCATAGGCCCAGGCAGATTTCAGGAACAGGAAGCGCTTGTGCACTAGACAGATGGCAGATTCTCGCACGCAGAGCTCAAAGGGCAAGACAGTGACAGGTACTGAGCACAGGCGTCTCACCCACGAGCACTGTGGCTGGGGACTAGAAAAGGACCAGGCAGTAGGGAACTGTGGGGGTACAGTCCGTGAGAGGTCTGGGGACACAACTCCAGCCTTGGAAAGTGACCCTGGACAGGTAACAGTGTAGGGATGAGACCAGGTCTTGTACACTGGAGGCAAGGAGATGACTTAGGGATGGGCAGTGTGGGACAGGACGAGGGACTTCATTCTTGGGTCAAAAGACAGGCCTGGACGTTTGGGGAGGGACCCAGACCCACACTTGAACTTCACAATAAACTCGAACTCCTGAACCTCCTGAGACTGGTCTGCACGTCTTTCATGGAATCCTCAGGAACCACCAGCACAGACAAACCCACACTCGTGGCCAGATGACAGCACCTCTCCTTGGAGTCCTCTTCGCTCCCCAGCCTGCCCCCAGTCAATAACAAGAACCAAGAGGAGACACTAATGACTTTTTAATGACCCAGGCTCCAATCACGGACTCGCTGCCAAGCCCAGGCCGCCAGCTGCCGCCCACCAGGAGGCGTGGACCAGAGCAGGCGCTGATGGATGGGGCTTCAGCCCACCCAGGCAGCTCCTTCATCAGGACCACCTCCTGCGGGGCCCAAAACCAAGCCATCCCACTGCCCAGGGCCCACGCAGTGGCACCACATGCCAGAAGAGTGGGCGAGGCCTGTGGGCAGGGCACAGAGGAGCATCTCCTGAAGGCCAGGCAGACCCGACAGACACAGGAAGGAGACTCTGATTTCCCCCTTCCTCTTTAAGAGGTCCCACCTGCACATTCCAGAAGATCCACTGACCTTCTGGGACAGGCCACTGACCCAAAGCCAGCTCACCACTGGGACAGACCCGGTCTCCATGTCCACATCCCCTTAGCCCCTGCCTGGCCTCTCCATTTCCTACAGTCCAGATGGATCAATCTGCCCCCACAGGACCCAGAAAGTCAGAGGAGCAGTAGGAGGAAGAGCACCCGGGTGGCCTGGCTCCAGCCCCAGCAACCAAAGCCCGACCTCCTGGAACACCCAGTCTGGACCTTCCATGGTCAGGGGGATGCTGGGGACGCAGCAAAGCACAGGTGGCTGGGCAGGAGCTGCTGTGGAGGGCAAGCTCTGAGTGGTCACAGGAGATGTAGCCCCTGGGGCTGCCGGCTGTGTTCAGTCCGACTCACCCAGCATGTTCACACCGCCGGGGCCACTCAGTTGGACTCAGGAATTCTGAGCTGCTAGGATAGAGACCCCGGCACCGGTCCCTCCAGTTCCTCCTTGTTTAAAGTACCTGACGTGTGTGGTGTGTGGTCCAAATGCTCAGCCAGGTAAATGCGGACCGTGTGCCATGGCTGGTGCTCACAAAAGAACAGAAAAGAAACTGAGGAGCTGCAACAGAGCTGCAAGAATACTGATGCAGCGTGATGTTCAGAGGAGGGAAGAGATTTCAGTCTGTG